GGTCTAGATATTCAACAGTCTAGATATTCAACAGTCTAGATATTCAACAGTCTAGATATTTATTAGTCTAGATATTCAACGGTCTAGATATTCAACAGTCTAGATATTCAACAGTCTAGATATTCAACAGTCTAGATATTAACGTCAGGATCAGATCTGAGAGCAGACTGATGTTTTAAAGGAAACGGGTTCTGGTCAGGATGGGAGGTAAATGCTCAGCTCTCTGTCGTTCCTCTATAAACTGATTGTTATTCAGCTTGAAGAATTAAAATGTGAATTTAAATCCTGAGAAAGAAGCAGCAGCTGCTTGTCTCACCTCATCCTGCGGCTGGTTGGCGTCTCGGTGGATGAACCTCCTCAGGTTCTCATTTATCCTCGTCCTGAAGGTGTGGCGCGCCGTTAAGATGTTCATCCACGTCGAGCGCAACCTTTCAGCTTTTCCCCGTAAACAGAAACTCAGCAAAACGTTGGTTCCTCCACAGGTTATTCCCACCATAAACAGACAGAATTATGGGAGGAGGTTCTAGATATGATCTGTTTGTTTTCAGGTCAGGAAGATGAAGGTTATGACTTGGGATTAAATGCTTCCATAAAGTGATGAACTTTAATTGTGTTTCTGCACTCGAGACTTTGAATCTAATTATTATCAGGAGAATTAGAATGAAAGGCTTTAATGTTATATTTTACTAAATAGTTTAATTTTCCAACAAAAATCTGTCAGTTTATTAAATAAATGTTTCTGTTTCCCTTCAATCATCTGAAACTTGATGTTCCAAAGTCCAGATCTGATTTCCAGATAAGATCCACAGCCAAGAACAACCGATGATCAAATCCGTTTTATTACATTATTTTTTTACAGCAGTAAAAATGGAGCTTTATGCCAATAAGTATAAAAAATCAGCTGTAAACTCAGTTCTGATCCAGGTGAGGTTAGCTCCTTGTGTATCTTTATGGTTCTGGTTCTGTTGGAGGTTTGCTCCAGTTAACGGAGAGTTTTCCTCTCCACTGTTGCCATGTGCATGCTCAGCATGACGGGTTGTGACAAAGCCGGCGGCTGTTTGCTGAATGTTTTAAAATGAAGTTTAATCTGAACTCGATGCAGAGTTTTGATAATTGGAACCAAATGAAATATGAGAGATTGGACTAAAATACCTTCTTTTGGTGAAACGCCTTCAAATGAAATGTGAATTGATGGTATATAAATGAACTGGATGTAGATTTTATCAGTTCAGTAATTGAGGGTGAAATCAGGACAAAATGTTGAACTTTTCAAATGTAGAAATAACATTTATGTAAATATTAAGTTATGTAAGTCTGTTTTTGATATAAATTTTAAAGTAGCAATGTTAACTGAATATAAGAAAAATTTTTACACAACTCTTAAATTTACCTTTCAGAGACGACAGTGATGAGGCCTGGACTGACTATTGGGAGGACTGGGAATATTCCCAGT